AACATCTTTAGGTTTTTTTGGGTAAAGGGGTTCAGGGGTTTAGGGGTTTAGGGGTTTAGGATTTAGCCGAAGCCGACTCCGACACCGTTTCATAGAGGAGTAGCCAACAGTCAGCTGCCGGCAGGCCCTAAAACTGAGGTTGATAGATATTTAACGAGCGGTTACGGGTGCTGGATATGGTAGTTTACTGGTGGTGGACGGTACGTTTTACTATTGGTGTGTATATTATATATATATATATATATTAATACGCATATATATATATATAGAAATACACACGGTACATATACAAATCAAAAACTAATATAGAACTGAAAAATGCAATGTAATGTAAAATGATATTGCCAGATTACGCAATATGACATTATAGTAGGTACTGTCGTATAACAGTTAAGAACAGCAATATGCGATACCATGACGAAAAAATACAACATAGGATAACGTAATGTACCATCATAAAGTACAATCTAGTATAGTAGCCTATTTTATAATATAACATGGAAAATGCAGTATAGTGTAAAATTCCAATATGATATGATACAAGCTATGAAAATTACGATTTGATATACTGTAACTATAACCTAAGAATGTGCGATTTAATAAAATATATTACAACATAATATAAAATAATATGGCATAGTATTCTGTATAAGATAACAAGAAAAGATTGTAAAGTTCAGTTGTAATACTAAATAATATGACTTCATATCATACAATACTAGATCAAATAATACAACATATTGAAACATATAGTATAGTATACTATACTGTGTTACAATGTTTTGTGGGTTGAAATGACAGTATGGTATAGTATGCTATGTAAAATATAATTGCACTTGAATATAATGTGATATGATACGATACAATACGGCATCTCATGTTATAGTATGATGTAGCATAATATGATACAACATAATGTAACCTACTACATTATAGTGTAATATAGTATAAATAGCATGATATGTCACAATGTCTTATCATATGTTGTAATAAGATACCACAACATACATATCTCAACAGTACACGGATAGAAAATGATACCAGCAGATGCAGTAGATGACCATAGCATGTAGGGGTAGCTGGGCTCCTAGGGAGGGCCATGTCAGCCGCCGCCTCCCGAGGCAGCGTTTTGCATGTCGCCGGGGTTAGCCGCGTCCAAGTTCTTCTACCCTCCCGGGGAGCCAGGAAGCGATAAGCACCAACACAAGTGCTGCATGTACATCTGTATACATATATATATATATGTGTATGTGTATATATTCTCAAAATGTGCACACAGACACGCATATTTACGTAATACCTATACATGATGTCTGTACATACATATATATATATATATACACATATGTGTGTATATATATATATATATATATGTACATGTATACATATACGCACACCTATCTCTAAAACTCTGGGTTGCAAGATAGGGCTCCTTATCATGATTTTGATGAAAGTTCCTTGGGTGTTTTTCGCCTGTAGCGACCATGAACTCTAATGCCCTGTTCTGGGAGGTGCAAGAGATGGTTGCAGTGATTGTACTGCTTAAGAAGTTCATTCGTGTTAATACTTAGTCAGTCCTTTGCTGCTGCTGCTGCTGCTGTACTTGCTTTCCCCATTGCAGTAACTAGTTTCTCTTAGCTAGCTTCAATTCTGTTGACATGTACGGTTACTTTCTCGAACATGGGGTAAAGCTGCAGTGCCAGAATGCTTCCCGTTTCAAACCCCGAGGGCAGCATTGGTTTGGGGATTTAGGTGCAATGGCAATCCCTGGAAGATGCCCCAAAGCCAGAAAGCCTAGCCTGATTAGGGGGTTTAGGGATTAGGGATTAGGGTTTAGGTACTAGGGTTTCGGGTGCAGAAAGGGACTAATTCAGTTCCTTGGTGCCTTCGTGTGGGGGGTGTGGGGTGACCGCAGCCCATGCATGCAAGGATGTCACTGTTGCACTAGGGACAGAGCATGAGTGTGCGCTCTGCGCTTTCTCTTTTGCACCTGCCAGTTACCAATTGGTGCTGTCAGATGACATCGCAACAACAGCAACATTCCCAAGAAAGGACATTACACGAAAGGCTGAGCCCACTGAGTCAGCTAGGCCGGAGGGGATATAACCGAACTTCGAAACTAGAACCCTCAATCCTAACCTCAATTGCAGCGAGTCCCGAAATCGTGAGCCTTAAACCCTCAAGTTTTCGCTGCAGCATTTTGTGGCATCAGCTATCCTTCGTTTGTTTCGGTGTTTCCTCGTGCTTCAAACTCATCAGCAGCTTGGATGAGCTTTGCCGAAGCCCTGTGCAGGTGCAAGTATTTAGGTTGGAAGGATGTGGGTTTGGGTTTCACATGTTCAAACGATCTACGGTTGCTTGCTGGAACGAGGTACTTAGGACGCAAGTTCGACATGGTGTTACAAGTGCCGCAGCTGACTGTCTTGCTTGTAACCACCGGTGTATTGTACTCATGTTGTCCCTTGATTCTTCAAACCGAGCCGAGATCCCCAGCACGAGCCGCAAGGTGTTTGGGAAATCTGTTCCACGCCCTCGCACTTGAAGTATGCGCGTGCAGACATCAGCATGTACCATGTATCCCAGCCAGCCATCCCTAATGCCCTCCTGAAGCCTCTTTGTTTGACCGGAGCCGGAAATACCTGCTGGCCCAATGGGCCCGAAACCCCAGAACCCTGTCTCTTTAGCCCTAAACCCCCTAAACTCGCCTGACCCAGTCTAGCGCGAGTGCTAAACATAGACCCTAAACCCCCAGAACCCTCACCTTCAGGACCTTCAACTCGAGAGCTTTTTGCTCTAAGCCTTGCTTTTGTGGGGATTAAATTAGGGCCCGGAACTACTTGAACCGTAAACCTTTGAATACCGGGGCCTTCAAAAGTGGGATAGGCGTTTGAGGGAGACTCTGTTTCAGTACATAGGGACAATCAGAAGAGACTGCCACTGCCTTGGGGAGATCCTATCACGTCACATCTTCGGACTTTGGAAGCCTTGAGACCCTGGCATGCAACCGAAAAAGAAGCGACACCTTTCAATCCTAGCCCTTAAGGCATCATGGCCTTTGTTGCTCTCCTCCTCGCTCTGCCTCTGTACCTTGGCAGCACCTTAGTCCAGGGCGTCAGGGTTTTATGAGGGTTTCGTCGGGTCGTATCAGGGATTTGGGGAATCTGGCAGGGCCTTTTTGTGTTTTTTTTTTGGGGGTGGTGTAAGGGCCGCTGGGTTCCCGGCAGAGAGGGTACTGGGCTTCAAGGGCATAAATGGCTGCACACCGCAAGTTGGACAGCCTGAGCCTGAATAGCGACAGACATGGGTTTCACCAGTACTCTCCATCGTATTTCTCTCGTTTGGCTAACCAGTTGTACTCGGTGGGATCCTAGAGTGCAGAATCAATATAACAAAAGCAAGGCAGTTGTTTAAGGGCAGGTTTCAGAGTACATCCCAACCCTCACGAAATCCTCAAGTCTCCCAGTCTGCCAAGGCTTACTGACTGCACCCGCAAGCAAAAACCTTCCCTGAAGTGTTATTCTGCTGGATGCTCCCCAATCTATGGCATTTCGGCATCCAAGGTTCTGGGCTTGAGGTTTAGGTCACGACGGTTGCGTTCTGGACTTGAGGGGGTTGTAAGGAGTTGCAATCCGAAACAGGCGCTGATCCTACAGACCACTGAAGCCATGTCGAACCCCTCTAGGACTCCTTAGAAAGCCTTATAGAAGCCAGAATGAAATCCCTAAGCCCTAAGCCCTGAACCCATCCTAGCTTGGTGGGAGGCCAAAAAAGCCCAAAACCCTCATCCTGCACCGTCTGGTTCAGCTTCCGCCAGCTTTTGGGCTGGGTCAGGCTCGCTGCCGCCGGCCCGGCAGGAGTTCGAGGAGGCGAGGCTTGGGAGACGCAGGTCTTTTGGTGCGGTTTGGGGGTTTAGGGCTTATAGGGTTCAGGTTTTAGGCTTTGTGGCAAAGTTTAGGATAGTTTCTCATCGGTTATAATAATTCTGCTATGTGGAGCCTCCATAGGTTTTCCTCTGGGATTCTGCAAGGTTTCGGCCAGGTCCTTCTAAAGGGTGTAATGGGGGTTGTACAGATGTCAGACATAGTTCCCACTGGTGGTCACCCTTTATCCTCTTATCGAAGGCTTGACCGTAAGACGGAGGCATAGAGCCCGCTTATTCACCGACGTGCTCCCGAAATGCAATGTCTGGTTGGGTTTTAGGGTACAATATAGGGGCTTAAGGTGGAGGGTTTAGGGTTCTAGGGTTTAGAGCTCTAGGGTTCTAGGGTTCCGGGGAGATGCGACCTGGAATGCAAGGAGTTCCGGGCACTTTTTGCTAATTAAATCCTTGCATGAGCCTCTTCTTGTAGGCCGCGAAGCCAACGAGACTGCACCTAAACTGTGGCCAAAGTTCTCAATTAAACGGCCTTCAGTAGAGGTAGTTTGAAAGGTTACGCTAGAGTGCGGCTTGTGGGAGATTTGAATTCCACCTGAAACAGGACCGTCGCAGTTTGGCTCGGTGGATACGCCAATTGAGCCTGAACCCTCTAAACCGGACAGAGTGTTGAACCTGTGCCAAGAAGCTTATGTAGAACCTTTTCGAAGCATCAAAGACCGTCATGTCCTAATCCCTACACCCCCTCCACCCTGTAAGGAACCCAAACACACACCCCCCCGGCCTGGAATACCACGACACCTAAGGGCAGCTAGAACCGATGTGCTGCTTCCCAGTCTTACTAAGGCTTGTGAATTCTGAAGCTTCCCAAGTCAGCCGCAGACTGCACGGCTGAAATGCTGGAGTTTAGCTTATTGATTCTGCGGGTAAGTATGGGATTGAAGGCTGAAGGCGAAGGGGTATAGGGGTAAGGATACCCTCAACCCTAAACCCAAACCCTAAACCCTAAAGCCCTAAACCCTTAAACCCATTAGATACGGTTTGATTGGATCCTAAAAAGCGCTCAAGAGCAATTCCGAATTCAATCGGGTTGCGCCCTGGGGCTCTCGGCCACTTTCGTCTGGCAATGGAAGCAACCTTGGACTACATCGGACAGGCGAGGTGCAAAGAGCAGGTTTGATCCAGGATGTCGGGTTACCGGTTCTAAGTTCAAGGGATTTGTGGCAACCCTCACCCAATTCGTCAGGGACGTTAGGGTCCCTGATTATCTGATTTATAAGTATAGCATTATGGTGCGTTATGTAACCCAGACCCTGTGTCGAAGCAGCCAGGAAGGTTTTAGGAATCGGGTTTGAACGAAGGCAGCTTGAGCCCGTGGCCCTCCAGGTACCACCTCGCAGTTTGATACTTGCAGCTGTCTTTCTCCGTTTGGTTCTTATTGCCGTGGCGGAGGTGCAGGACTATCTTGCCGAGGTCGGGTTGCCGGAAAAGAGTTTGCGATAGACCCGGAGAATCTCCGACACTCAGAATCTCAGATTGGAGCTTGTGCTACACCAACAATCTGCGCCCCCAGTGCCAGGTGCCCTACACCGATGTGGATTACCAAGTTTTCACTGATGCTGCGGAGTCCATTGCGCTCGGGCTCAGCCCCTACGAGGGGCGAACCGCCTTGCTTGCGGCTGAAGCAACTCGCTATCGCTACTGGGCTGAGAGCACGCACACTTTGACATTTCGATGTTTTGCAATCGTGTGTGCCAGGAGCTCCACAGATAGGCCTTTTTGAAGATGTCTTCAAGCGTCCTCTAGGATAGCTGACCTTCAGGATATTGTTTGAAGTGGCTCTACAACCCCCAAACCCTAAATTCCGAACTGTATACCTCGAAACCTGCAAGCCCATGAACCCTAAAACCCCCAAGGCCACCACCGAAAATTCAAATTGCAACACCCCTTATGGCTAGACCATGCCCAATTCACGACTCCTTCACTCGAGGATACACGCCGCTTCTCGCCTTTCTTCTGCTGCCAAATGTGTGGCTCCACAAGGCCCGTCGTCTTTCTTGCGAGGAGGAGAACTCTGCATGCAAGGGAGCGTGCCGAGAGCAATCGCGTCTCCAGACCAACCTCTATTTTGTGTGCTGAAACCAACCCTGACAAGGCCTGGGGCAAGCTGCTATTCTCTGGTCTCGATGTGGCTGCGGCATGCCTGCCCCCAGACTGATTGCTACAGTAATTACTGCACAGGCAGTTGGCACCCCAAACTCAAGAAAAAGGGTTTCCGGCTAGTCATCCATGTCCATATCCTATGATCGGAGTGCTTAGACGTGTTATCCGGGATTTGGAGTTAAAGTGCTTGGTGGCCTTGCGAAAGGGCTGATGTTATCCTTTCTCCCCATGAGCCCTGGAAATACAAAAACCACAGGCACCCCAAAGTCCCGAACCGTGGGATCCTCCCTCTTGCAGTCCCTGTTTTATACTATAAGGGTTTAGGGTTTGGGGTTTCTTCAGAGAGGCCTCGTTCAAAAAGGGTTCTGGAATGTATCCCAAAACCCCATTCTAGCTGTGAGTGCCTCGGATTTAGTTTTTGATTGTAACTCCTATGCCTTTTTCAAGAGTAGACCAGCTAAGGTTGCAGGGCATCTTGCAGCACAAACGTTCCAAGAGGATCAGCTTGAGCTGCTCGGCTTTGCTTCAGGACCTAACTCCAAGTATAAAAGGAACCCATAATATTTCTTGAGGCCTCCATATTACGGGCATTTTTGTTTTTTCTTGGTGGCCGCATTGGCAACCCCAAGCCAACTTCGGAATCTTTACTCCCTGAAAACCTGCTGCACAAACTAGGACCCAAGCCGCACCTGGACCGTAAAACCTGCATTTTTAGGGCTCCCGGTTATGATGCCATTAAAAGCCCTGCAAGGCTTAGCATTGTGGCTCTTCAACCCCTTCTGCTTTACCATCTCGACGAGGGGCAGTGGCGAGTCAGTCGTCGTGCTTCTGATTTATGTGGCGCGGCGCACGGGTTTAGGGCCTTAGCCTGGCATTGTTTTGGGTGAGGTTTGTAGGCGGGGGGCCTGTGAGCTCTAGCCCTGTTCTAAAGCAAACTTAGTAGAAGTAGAGTCAGGAGACCTTACATTTATATTCTAGATCGTGATTCTCGGTGGCTGCTGTGGAAGCGAGTAACATGGGGCAATGTCTCCTCTGCTGACTTTCTGGCTGCGGGCCTTTCGGGTAATTTCATGGTTTAGATGGTTCTGGTGGTAAGTGCGTGTCCTATGAATTCAGCTGGCATGACGGGATTATGTGGAGGTTTGCCTACCTTGCGCGAGGGTGAGAGTCGAAATCCCAACCCCTAAGCCACCTCCAATTTGGAAGTCCCAGGCTGTCATCTACTTCTTGGAGGTGCGGAAGAATTGGCCGTTGGCGGCTCTGTGTTATGGGATTGCTGTCCACTGGAGGATCTATCCCATCGTTTATGCACTTCCCATCGCACTGTTTCTGCTGGGCTTCGGGAGAGCCCGCGATTTCTTGCAGCTGGTGGGCTTTGGGTGTGTGGCGGCTGCGGTCTTGCTTGGGCTGGGTCTCGCATGCTACAAGCTACTCGCCAGTGCGACGAACTGAATTCTTTATATACCCATTCATGCCTCTGCAGAGGTTATAAAACCGCTCAAAATATGACCCACAAACTCGGATGGGAAGTACACATCGCCGGATGCTTACTACTTGTTCGGTTGGGCAGGATTAGCAGTTCTCCACACTGTACGGAAAGCTGATGCTCAGCAAACACTCGCCACAGAAAGTGCCATTTGCACAGGGCACAGAGATCCCGAAGAAGCTACATGTTTCAGCCTGCCGGCCCTACGAACATACTGCAACAGGCTGTATAGCCTCTGAGCAAAGGCATACAGGTTTTCGGGACCCTACGAGCGAAGTGGGAGTTTCGGACAATCTCGGAGGCCCCAACAGGAGCCCGAAGTAGTAGGAGCCTGAACCGCCCGGAGTTTCGTTGTGGCAAAGGTTGTATGGGCAGGAGTTCATCGAATGCTCATACCTTCACCACAGCAACTTGGATGTGGACGGGTTTGAACAATACGGGCTAGTGACTAGTGTTCCCTTAACCCTCAACCCTTTCGGACAAGTGTCAAAAAAGGACCTTGCCAGGCTTGTCCGAGTGTGAGTGTCAAAACCCTTGTGCGAGTGTGAGAGTCGAAACCCTAAACCCTAAACTTCCATAGGGCTTAACGTACGTGAAGGGCGTCTCAACCGATAATGGGCTCGGATAGCCCGATGGCCCCGCTCCTTTCCGTGCCGGGCTTTATGCCACAGGGCAGTGCATGTCAGTGTTGCTTGCCAACAATGGCATTGGGTGTGGGGCTTGGTTGTGCGATGGTAGCAGCAAGCATAGAGGTCTCAGTGGTTAGTAGTACCTTCTAGTCGCCGAGCAATCCTTTATGCGAGTATGACTGCTGAAATACTTTAAGCCTTGACCCCCTGAACCCTAAACCCAAGCCGTATAAACTGGCCCTAATGCTCCACCCAATCCCCTGTCAACCCAAGAAACCTTGTCCCAACTCTGAAAAAATTTGCCCGAGACCCGAACGCTAGGCCCTATATACCTTGCACCTCAACCGACTAAACTCTTCATCCTCGAGTTTAGGGTTTCGGATTTCTAGGGTTTTATTTTTAGGGTTTCGGGTTTAAGATTTCGGGTTGAGGGTTTAGGCCCCCAGGCAGCCGAAGGGATCCTCAGCATAACTTCTCCGTGTACTTCTACCCGGTGGCTCTCCACTTGGAAGGCCGACCTGGGGGCTCAGCAGGGCTTTTCGAGGGCTTGGGGCTTTGGGTTTTAGGGTTTATAGGGTTTAGTGGAGCCGCTGCAGACCGGATGCAAAAGGGTTTAGGTTTCGGTTTCAGGGTTTGAGGTCCTACGAGGACATTGGCCGGGCGAGCTCCAATCAAGCCTGTGTAAAAGGGTTTGAGGTCTTTGGGCGTGGGGCCTTTCAGGATCTTAACTGGGGGTCAAAGTCATGGAGTCCCTCAGCGATTATGGTGGAACATACCCTCCAAGCCCCTATTCTGATGAGTAATGCCCTGCCCTATTCTGGTTATTGATGCCCCTGTATTGGTGTGTGTCGATGGCTGGGGCAACTTGATGAGAAGCCTCACCCGGCTGCCAGTGGTTTAGGATTTCAGGTTTTAGGCTGCTTCGGCAGACGCGCGGGGCAGAGGAAACTATCGGGCGAAGCTCGCAGCAAAACACGGTGTTGGGCTGTACCCACAATAACCAGTCGGTTCCGATGTGCTGCATATGCAGCCCGACAGGCACTAGAACAGAATTCTCGAGAGGTGGCACTTTGGGAGTAGCGTTTTTGGCATGCGTGAAACTGAAACTGAGACTAAGCACAGAACAAGATCCACGGCGAGGTCTTGAAAAGCATTGCTTAGATGGTTGAGGATCTCGGATTCTCGTGCTGTGAAAGAAGAGGCAGTGAGCACCTGAGGTCCCAACGCCCTAAACATTCTCGATGTATACTTCCTTTTTCTGGCAGCTGTTGTCCCACATCTTACTTGACTATACCACAGTAAACCAACGATCCCGATGGTATACACAGGTATACAATCATGCCACATTTGTAAACCCCAAACCCTAAACCCTAAGTAAATGATCAGCTCCCCACCTGCCTCCAGGGGCTTTTCATGGATTGGTTCCAGACGTGGCGCGTTTCGCCGCTGTCCCGCAGACGCTCGGCCTGCGCTGAGCCAAAGACCTGCTTCCTTTGGGTTCCCAAGCCTGCTTTAAAGGCAACTACAGGTGGGGAGTTTAGGGTAAAATGGGCTTCTATGAGGCTTCTAAAAGGTACTCGTATATAGACCTTCTTTTAGGCTCCTATAACGGTGACGCTACCCACCTGAAAATATCCTAGACTGCTATTCTCCACGGACTAAGACCTAACTCAACACTGTGCCCTCAGTTATGCCCACGCAGGAGAAACCAGGCGAACCATGAAACGAAGCCCACCTGAAACGGGTGCTTCAGCAGTACATGTGTGCAGGGCATATGTGTGGAACTCTTCACACCGCGTAAGAGAGAGTCTGGAAAATGAATTAATCCTACTATTTGTCAGGGTTCCTTATTATTTCAGGAGGAAAATTATTCATTACTGTAATCACTATCACTGTCATTATTCTTATGGTAGCATACGCCCATAAGACCCCATTCTAACCATTACGGCCCCTCTCCTGCTCGGCACTCTACACGAATTTGACAACCCTACCGTCGTGGGGGGGGGGGATCTATCAATTATGAAAAAAGTTCCCAAGTCCCAAGTACGAGACGAGCGAAAAATGCTGTAGTGGGATCCCAACAGGAGGGGCCGAATCGCGAAACCTACCAAGATTAAATTCACCAGCGCTACTTGCTAAAAACATTCTGTGTTAGCGGCTCAGAACCCTGAACCCTGCTTCAAACCCCAGACTCCTACACTCTGAACTGGCGCGAAAGAGCAAGCCAAAAACCTGTAAACTATGTGTTCCCTAAACCCTGAACCCTGAACCCTAAACCCTGAACCCCAAACCCTGAACTGGCGCGAAAGAGCTAGCCAAAAACCTGTAAACTATGTGTTGCCTAAGCCCTAAACCCTGAACCCAAAGCCCTACACCCTAAACCCTGAACGCTAACCCTGAACCCTAAACCCTAAACCCTGAGCCCTAAACCCTAAACCCTAAGCCCTAAGCCCTAAACCCTGAACCCTGAACCGTACACCCTAAACCCTGAACCCTAAACCCTAAATCATGAACCCTAAACCCTAAACCCTAAATCGGTGGGTGTCTTTGCTTGTGAGTGCTTTCAAGCCCTGGCCTGTGAAGATTTCGGTGGTGGTCAGTCTTGCTCGCTCCCGTGGTCAGCCTGGACTTTGGGCCATCATTTCCCAGGGTGACTTCCAAGGCGACTTTGGACCTTGCCGCTATCTTCCACTGTGTGGTCTCAGTGGTCCTGTTCTACTGGGCGACTTTGGTACGGCGACTACGTGATCATGACTGCGCCGGAGGAGGGATCGTTGGCACCATGCTGATGGCACCATCAGAGTTCGCCTTCGAGAACGCCAGGCAGCCGAGTCTAACCACGCGCCGCTGCCGTCCGTGCCGGAGGAGACTTTCCCTTCGGAACCCTGGTTTCAGCTCACTGGTGTTGAGGAGGTTGACCCAATTACGGGAGACACCCTTCTGCATGGGGTGAATGCGTCAGGGAAAAACTTCACTGTGCGAGCTTCATCTCAGTTGGACAATGAGACAAGCACAACTGCAGGTGAGGACGCGGACATGGCTGACACTGAATCTGGGATGTCTTCCTCTGACGGAGGCACCAGCCAAGCAGTGGGTTTCTGGCGAGGAGGAGTATGGCATAACCGTCCACGTACAGAACAAGAACTTCGCGCTCACCGTGGGGGCGGGGGTGAAATCCGGACCCGGAGAAAAAAGGAAAGAACGCAAGCCTACTTTGATGGGCGTTGGAAACCGGCCTGGTTGGTACAGTATGCAGCTGACCGTCGCCTCCGTGAAGATTCCTCCTCTACGTCCAATACGACGGGAACACGTGATGGTCAAGACCTCTTGGGGGAGCCCGCCATAGAGCAACCGAGTTCGTACGCATCTGGTGCACCTGGGGTGACTTTTCCTTCAGATGATTACCCTTCTCACAATGGAACATGGTCGACTGGGTCAGCTTGGGTGACATGGTCCTCTCCCTCTGGCTGGACTAACTCTTTCAATGGGACATGGGATGCACACTTGGTCAGACTCACAGTGGTCTACTTGGTGGTCTGCGTCGACGTGGGATGGATGGCAATGTGCTGGTGACAGCTGGCAATGGGACGAGAAGGAGGCACAACAGGACACACAATGCGCTTGGCGGACCTCTTGCTCCTCCTCCACGTCTACTACCACGACGAGTGCACCAGAGGAGGGTGACATGGTGATCCCGCACTTCGGCCTCTTCCCAGATGTGAGGACTTTAGAGGAAGAGGTTACATGGCTCATGCAATTGACCAACGGTGAGAGGGCCACCCTCCAGGAGAATGGCCTCACCCAGGCGAATGTGAACAGGGTGGAAGAGCTGCTTCATCAGATCGATGATCACCAAGTCGATGGTACAGGGCCAGAAGCGAGATGGGCTCTTGCTCGCCTGACTGCGAGGCTTGAAGATGGAGTACAAACCTTGCAGGTGGTTCTCGACATCCTCCTTCGACGCTTGGTCCCACGTGGTTATCTGCCTCTTCAACGTATTCCAGGCGAGGAGCTTGCTCGCTACAGGTGGCTGAATTGGGCGCGCCAATTCAATTCCATCTTCCTGCGCCAGCTAGAGGTCAATCTGGCAGCTCCCTTACAACCGCAGGAGGTGGACCCAACGGAAGGGGTGACGTTGGGCTTCCACACAGCCGCTCCCTATGAACTCCCATCTTCTTCTGGACAACAAACAAGGGACCGCAGCAGAAGCCCGGTAACAGCAACTCGTCCTCCTGCCGCCGATGGTGGTGCTTCGTCGTCCCCGGCAACGAACTTTGAAGAAGAAGAAGAGGAATCCGCTGCTGAACCGGACACAGAGGTGAACGTCCCGCTACAAGTTGGAGTGGACCCGGCCCTGCTACCTGGTATTTGGCGAGACCCCCCGCTTGAAGATCTTTCGGCGAATAACAGTTTGTTTGGGAGATCCTCTCCCTCTACTGGAACAGAGACCACCACCTTGATGGGACCAACCTGGTTGTTCACGAGAGAAGATGCGACTTGTCTACCCACAAACTCACCGACCATATGCACTCGCCCTCAGACCTGGACGCCGACGTCATCCGTGTCTACGAGATCTCTGACTACATCGTCTGCTCCCTCCGCGGCGAGTTCGTCCACGTGGCCAGCGACAACGACAGTGGCATCCTCTTCCACAGGTCCCTGGCCATTCTCTACAACACCAGGGGATGAATTTGTTGGAATGCAAACCTTCTTGATAGGGGTGACGTCATTGACAACATCGTCTTCTACCCCTTCGGAGATTGCTGGCCAAACTCCGCACCCGTCCTCGTTGAGCAGCTCCTCAGACATTTGGTTGGGAGCTGGCCACATGGGAACAGTTGCTGTCCCCTGTGTCTTGACGCTGCAGTCCTGCACTATGACGTCCTCTACCACGACAACGTCATCGATCACAAGTGGGGAGATTGTGAGAGACGCGATCAACCTTGAACTGCAGCATGCAGGCACAGCGGATGTGGTTGATGTGCTCCGTCGATTACTCGACCGGCAGAGACGACTCCAACACTGCCTCCGCCTGGTTGGGACAGCTTTGGAAGAATGCCTATGTTGGGTACCAAGAGGAATTTATGCTCGTCCGTTCAATGCTGCCACCATGGAAGTCCGTCTCTGGGGTGTCATTAGCCGCGAGGCTGCCCAAGGATCGGCACCGACTTCCTCGGTCAACACAGGACTACCTGCGCCGCAAGCTGTCCTTCTCCAGCCTGATCTGCCCCCGACTCTGGAAGTCCTGCTCTCGGCCTTCCCAGGTGTGGAGGAACATGTGGTGGCTGGCTATAGAAGGAGGGGGTGGAGGGTACACGTTGAGCAATTGTACCTGGCCTCCGGCAGACGCTGTCCAAGGGGCAACTGGCCCGCTGAAGATGACAGAGAGCTGTACTTCGTACAGACAAATGAAGACACAGTCATCCCCAACTTGCCTCAGCATGTTCCTCTTCCAGAAGATCCACTCCTTCACCGCCAAGTACGGGGAGTTGCTGCTCGGCGCCGTCTTCTCCGCGCACGACCTGTTCCCGCCTATGGCCTTGTGGCTGCACGACGAGTACCAGTGGGACAACTGGAGGAGGATGACGCGGCAGAGTCTGAGCAGAGTTCACGTTGGCGGGGTGTGGCAACAAGTTCGTCAGCACGCCGAGAGCCCAGAATGGATCGTAGCCGCAGCCGTGATGAACGCGACGGTCATGAAGGACATGGCGATGGTCACGAAGGACATGATGAACGTGAGGGACAAGATGGACGTGCTGGAGGTGAAGAAGGAGGCGGACGTGCAGAACATGACGACGCGTGACACGACTTGAGGCATGGCCAAAGGTGTGGCTGACGCACAACAGGGAGCCTAGGTGAGTTGTAGGCCAATTGTGTGGACGACGCACAACAGTGTGCCTGGATGAATTGTAGGGAGCTTTTCTGAGTTGAGGAATGGTCAATCCTGCCCTCGCTTGCTTCTTCTTAGTGCATGCTCCAATGGAGCGAGCCTTCTGACCTCATGCGGGAGAAAGGGCTATTGCATTTTTTTAAAAAAAAAACCCTAAATCATGAACCCTACACCCTAAACCCTAAATCCTGAACCCTAAACCCTAAACCATGAATCATGATCCCTAAACCCTAAATCCCAAACCCTCAACCCTGAACCTTAAACCCTAAACCCAAAACAATAAACCCTGAACCCAAAACCTTAAACCCTGAACCCTAAACCCTAAACCCTAAACCCTATCAAGCAAGGCGTCACTCGCACCTTCACGGCCAACTCCCGCACTGCGTGGACGACAAGGCCGGCATCTGAGTTTACAGGGCTCGGGTTTAGAACTCACGGGTTTGAGGTTTAGGAGTTCAGGGTTTAGGGGTTTGGGTTTTTTTTGTTTAGGGGTTTAGAGTTTAGGGGTTTGGGGTTTAGGGTTTAGGGGTTTAGGGGTTTAGGGTTGAGGGGTTTAGGGGTTAGGGTTTAGGGCTTAGGGTTCGGATGAAGCGGCAGTAGTTCCGAAGCTTCAGGGGTTTAGGGTTGTTAGGACTGAGTTCCAGGCTTCGGCGCTGGAATCTCAATGTCTAGGACATTTTCAGGTGGGTAGTTGCCGTTATAGGGGCCTTATAGAAGGTCTATATACCTTATGGAAGCCTTAAACCCTAAACCCTAAACCCTAAACCCCTAAACCCTAAACCCTAAAGCCTAAACCCTGTAACAATGCCAGAATCCTGAACCCGAGTTTTCATTTGCCCAACAGGGAAGCCTTGCAGTACCCATAGGCCCCATAGTAGTTCCTTCAAAGGGATCTATAGGGTTCCTTTCAAGGGATCTGTAGGGTTCCTTTAAAGGGATCTATAGGGACGCTGCACCTAGGCTTACGCACAGGCCCCATAGTAGTTCCTGTTTGGGATTACCTAATAGGATCCTAAAGACAAACCACAAAAAAGAACTACTATGGGGCCTATGGGTATAGCCCAAAAGTTGGAGTGGCACAAGGCCTAGACTGCAGCTTTTAGGTTTTAGTTGCAGGCTTTGGTACACAAGCAATATATACACACACACACACATGGGTAGTTCTCTAAATTAAATTAGGTCCCTTTTGGGGTCCCCAATATAGTACGGCACCCTTATCAAAATCACCCTACAAGGGACCCTAATTTAGAGAACTACCCACATGTAGAAGGCGGGTCGTTAGGATAGAAGTCTCATGAAAACAGGCGCCAGTTGTATGATCAGAACGTAAGCCCCAAGGGAAAACTAAGCCAAACCCCATGGCCCTATAGACCTTGGGCTTCATATCCCAAAACCCTTGTCCCAAACGTCCAAAACCTAGAAAGGGCGATTCTTCCGCAAACTATTCGGGTCCAGGCAAACCCTACCTCCCACAGATCCCATAAAACCCTACGCCTCAACTCCTAAACCCAAAACCTAGTGACCTGAACCCTAAACCCCTACACCCCTAAACCCCTAAACCCCAAACCCTAAGCCCCTAAACACCCCTAAACCCCAAACCCCTAAATCCCTAAACCCTAAAAAAACTAAACTCTAAAATCCCAAACCCCTACACCCTGAACCCTTCGGGCGGTCTTCGGCTCCCGAAAGCTCCCGAAAGCCAAGGGTGGGGATTGGCCGTCGCTGGCCTTGCGGCGGCTTGGATGCTTGCAAGTAATGTTCGAACTTTAGGGTTTAGAGATGGCAAAACAGGGTTTAGGGATTAGGGATTAGGGCTTGCAAGTATGTGCGGACTTTAGGGTTTAGGGATGGCAAAAAAGGGTTTAGGGATTAGGGTGAGTGCTGCACTGCTTCGCGGCGGCGGCAGTTCCGGGCGAGAGAAGCCTGCTGCAAAAAAGGGAGCCAGGGAGCCGAAGACCGCGAGGTTTAGGGTTTAGGGGTTTGGGATTTTAGGGTTTGTTTTGTTTAGGGTTTGGGGATTTAGGGGTTTAGAGTTTAGGGGCTTAGGTTCAGGGGTTTAGGGTTTAGGGTTCAGGTCACTAGGTTTAGCGTTTAGGGTTTAGGGTTTGCAAGTATTATGTTCGAACTGTCCAAGGCCTTTGTTCCCAACTTGCAAATTTCCTACGGAGCGTGGCTTCCTAAGGCCCCCAGCGCAAAACGCCACGTAAGAAATCCACTCCACCTTGCACACCTTAAAGCTTCTTCACCTTGCCTCCATGCCCCTCAATGGAGAGAAATAGGAAAACGACCTTGGGGTATCCAGTTGCATACAAGCCTTGAATTAAGCAGGGGTATATAAGGCCCCATGCAGTAGGGTAGATGGAGGGTCTAGGGTATGGCCTGAACCCCAAACCCCTAAACCCCTAAACCCTAAAGCCCGTTGTTTTGTAGGTTTCTGAGGTTACTTGGTTTTGCGGATTGGTTTTTCTCTTTACTGGAGTTACTGGAGTTTCAAATGAGCTAAATCTTAAGACCTGCAAGCCTATCTGCCCCAAACCCACGAGGTCGGCGCCCATGCGGGGCTCGCAGTGGCTTTCCGTGCCCGTGCCGCACGCCGCGCTGAAACAAAGCCAGCTGAGAAGACTCTCTGAGGATTTTTAGGGGGCCGTAGGGTTTCTGCAACGCTTGCTTTCAGGGTTCCCATTAATTAGGGGTTTTTGTTAGGGGTTCCATAAGAGTTTTGTAGGGTTCAGGGCTTTAGGGGTTTAGAGTATTGGGTTTCCGAGCTCTACGGTGTTAGGGTTTGGAGTTCAATTGTTTTAGTTTGCCGGGTTTTAGGGCTTCAGTGTTTACGACTTTAGGGCTTTGAGGCTCAAATCTTGATTGATCAAGTCTTCAGATTCCTGGCTGGCAATGCCAGGCAACAACGACCCTTAACATCAAACGGAAACAGCCGGTTCCTGTTTATCCAGACCGGCAGACAACCCGCCGACCCTCGTCCCTCAAACCTTGAGAAGCGACATCCTGAACTTAAATCCTATAAGCCCTAAGTCCTAAGAAGTCCTAAGCCACCGAAACTCCTATTATAAACCCTGAATCCTGACAGGCCACTACTATAGGGGCGGGGTCCTTATTATATTTACAGTATACCGGACTCCAAAAACCCTATTCTAACTATTAAGGCCCCTATATGAAATCCAACGGCCGAGTCGAAGACTTTCAGCCCAGGAGCAAGTACGTAGAGACGGTCGCCGACGAGCGGCTGTTTGAGCAGGTCTACTTGCAGTACACCTCAGAGTACCTGAAGGGCCCCTTGGTCGCTGAATGCGTGCACGTCGAATTTTTTGGGGTAGTATTTATACCCGATATTATACCCTATAAACCCTACATTATCCCCTATAGAACCGAAAGTTCACACAGTGTTGGGCTTATGAACTCAGACACCAAGGTCCTCTCTACTGGTCTCCCGACGGAAGCCGAGCAAATAGGGGTCTAGGGCCTCGGGGCTTAGGAAGAGTCTAGGTTAGGGCCTTTAGGGGTTTAGGGTTTAGGGTTGAGGTTGAGGGTGTGGAGTTTAGGTTGAGAGTTCTGGTTTAGAGGTTAGGCTGAGTTAGGTTGAGGGTTATGGTTCAGGGTTTAGGTTGAGGGTTATGGTTTAGAGGTTAGGTTGAGGGTTAGGGTTTAGGGTTTGTTAAGGGCATTAGGGATGAGGGTTTGCGGAATACCCTATTCTGGTTATTGAGGTCCATTTCTTAAGCCCTAAGTTGAGAAAGTCATCCGGACCAAACCCTAAAACCTGTAAACCCTAAATCCGACTTCACTTACAGAGGCATCCGGATAAGCTTATGGTAACCTTTGTAGAACTCCCCTCAAGAACTCTATGACCCTAAGAAGAAGGCATCCGGACAAGCTGCAGGGATGGCTCCCTGACTACCCGGGTACGCCTATGATCAAGGAGGGCAAGTACACGAGCCATGTGATCGGAAACCTCAAGGCAAGAAACTTACAGCAAAATTAGGGGTCCTTTTAAGGGTATAGGGTTTAGGATCAAGGGAGGCGCCCGGAACTCCATGCCCTAAAGATTTAGGTCTTAAGTTGTGTAGTGGTCCTCTTAAGGGTAGAGGGTTTAGGATTCTTCCAAGGAGGCCGGAGGTTCCTCAAACATCAGGGATTTGTAGGGGTTTCGGATTTAGGGTGGAGCTCGTAAATACAGGGCAAGGATCTATCCAGCATTTATGTATGTGCTGCTTTCCCAACAGGGTCCAAGTTTATAATTCTCTGTCCATAAATTTTCGGGCCCACAGAGAATGTACTACCCATAGGCCCTAAAGTAGTTCCTTTTTGGGGTTCATATCTAGGATTCCATATATGAACCCCAAAAAAGAACTACTTTAGGGCCTATGGGTATACGCTTGACCAAATTGGAGACCTACAGGCTGAGCTCGAGGGTTTTACTTTACTTGGGCAGGTTTTTACGAACTTCAGGATGTGATAGGGTTTGTTTTTCGGGTCTTAGGATTGAGGCTTTGGGTTTGTAAGGGTTCTAGGAGTAGTGTATCTGTGGCTTAGCAAGTTTAACTTACGCCTTGTATATGCGAATGCTACACAACCGTTGTTAGGGCGAAGGGCTTTCGGCCCCACATGTAGAAATAGCAAAGTTTCAGGCTTATGGCTTCTGAAAGTTCACCATCAAGGGAAGCTTGTAGTGATGGGAATGCAGAGTTATCAGTATGGAGCCCAGGATGTACGCACCGAGTTTTGCAGTCCTTTGGAATATAGTGCGCTCCAGTTTGCTGCTTCTTGAACCAATCCTGTATAACGAGGCGTTCAGCTCGAACGAGCTTGCCTTCTTGTCCATGCTCTTCTTTGGCGTCGGCCTCTATGGCAACCTGCAGTTCAACTTCTATGACCCGCAGTGGGCCAAGGTGGATGCTGGCGGCTTCTTCAATGTGTCTTACATCGTGGAGTCCTTCTTGCTTCCCATCTCGTTCTTCATGCACATTGCGTGCTACATCCAGAGGCAGAACGGGAAGTGAGGGCATCGGCATCGCCGTAGTGTTCTGTCGAATCTGAGAGGGCCGTCAGACGTTTGGGCCCCTCGCAGTTCCTAGCGCACGTAAGACGTGCTCGGTGTGTGGAGGGTACTGATCACATCAGCTTTCACACCATACTGGGACATGCAAGGAGAAATTGTTCCACGATGAACCCTAAACTGGTTTAGGGTTTGGGGTCCCTAAACTCAACACGCTCCTTGGAGATTCATTGGGTTTCGTTGGGTCCATTTCATAGCAAGAAGCCATGGGGATAATCTAGGAATAGTGAGCGTTCTTTTCAGAGGTTCCGTAAGATTCCTTCAAGAGGTACTTCAAGCAAGGGTTGGATACCTTCAAAGCCTATTCTAATCACTCAGGCCCCTATATCAATCAATCTCACGGTGCAGGAGCCTTGTTCGAATGACCGGCTGTAGAGATGAGCCTTACTTGTCTCTTCAGTCTGCTCTGGCATTAGCTACCGTCTTTGCCTCTGGGGGGCCCAGTTGCCTTTATGATCGGCTGATTGGGTTTCGGGTTTAATTAGGTTTTAGGATATAGGGCCGTTAAGGGATTATTCTCCTGTGTGTTTCCAGGAGGAGTAACCTACCAAGTCGATAGCCTCTACATCCTGCACCTTAAGCGCAAGCCTTCACCTCCCAAACCTTCACACCGCTAAGCCTAAAGCCAGAAGCCTCAATACCGAACGCATCTTCATCAAAGGAGATTCAGATGGCTTCGCAACAGCAAGTCCTCGAGGAGCTTGCCTCTATGCGGTGCTTGCTTTTTCGATCTCTTTCGTGGGGTTGGGGGGATAGCAACTTCCGGATCCCTTCTTACGCTTTCTAGATTTTACCCTTTTCGATCCTCATGCCCAATCTAAACCGAACTCTACTTCTCAAAACGTAACTCTAGTTCTCAAGAACCTCCCGTCTTCAGATTATGGATCGATCCTGATACTTGGGGTTTAGATATTGATTGGGATCCACGATTTGCTGAAACTCTCCAGTTCTTACAGTGCTACTACACAAGCAATCTTGGTGGATTTAGGGCTGTTTTCTCAATCCCAATGCTGGTTATGGTCGTGATGTCACTTGTGCTAAGACTAGGTACAAACGGGCCACCAGGGCCGTCCATCCGTTATCACCATCGCCATCAGCATTGCGCCATCACTGTTCCACTTGTTCTGCTCGTTGTTTGCACTCCCGCACTTCCCCCGCCAACCAGGTGATTCCGCCCCAAATCTCCTTGGAGGGTCTTTTGGGGTCTTTTGCTTTCTGAAACCCCTCATCATGCCTACACCAGTACTTACGACCCACGATATTTCGGATACAAGGATCAGGCAGGAGCAACACTTGTGATCCTGGCAGTCTTTCTCTATCAAAGCCAACTCCTGTCCCAACTCAGCTGGGCAGGGTATAGCCACAAAGCAGGAGCGCGGGATGTCGGTTGTTTGGTTTACATCGACGTTGCGGTGAGCTTATAATGGGTCAGAGTTTATAAGCCTAGAAGAGCCAAAGCAGCAACGCCTGCAGTATTGCCAAGAGCAGCAGGCCCTCATTGGCATTGACTCGAAACTGCCCTACATTGCCCTAGACTGGATCCCCGAATTCGCGGTGAGATCTCAAGGATGGATCCTGGTGTAGAGAGCAACAGCTGCTCTTTCGCCCTGGCAAGACGGAGGCCAGTCGACATCCAAAGCTAGCTTTGCTTGGGGTTTTGAATGCGATTCACGGACATTGCCGTACGTTTACGTCGTTTTTGTATGGTGCTTTTCCGGATTTTCTCGTTCTGTAAGCCTAAGGCTTGACAAGGGTTTCCTGTGCCTTTTGCTTGGGGGTCGCTCTGGGCTTCCAGGGCTTGTGGCCTGGAAGGCCAGTGTAGATTTTACCGTCTGATTCCTTAGGGGCTGAGTAGGTAATCTGTAACCTTTTTGGGGCTTAAACCTACTATAGTTCAAAAGGCTAACCTATTCTGGGCCAGGGTACTCAGCCCCTAAGATTCTGACTTGGTGAAGCTTCGATCAAGGCTGACCCGAGTTGCGTGGCCTGAGTCACGCGCGGTATGGATATGCTTGTGCTTACGCGCATGTGCAGCTGCCACTCATGCGCGCGGGTCGCCGATGGGCGCGAGCAAGATAGCAGATAGCATGCACAAATTCAGGCAGCATCCTCCCCGATGCCAAACAGTTGTAGCTAAGCTCGAACTGGACTCTGGGTCTTTCGATTTCATGGTTTTTGCTGTTTGCTAGCATGTCGCGGATATGTTCTTGCAACTGACGCCGCATGACAGCGCACTGTCCGTGCTTGCTGCCCCGCCCCCCTCTCTCTCTCTCTCTCTCTCTCTCTCGTCGCTGCAAACCAGATGCAAAAGGGTTTCGGGCGAGCTTCCATCAAGCCTGTGTAAAAAAAAGGGTTTAGGGTTTAGGGGTTGAGAGTTGCGTCTTGAGGGTTCAGGGTTTAAGGCCGTTGCTGTGCAAGTTTAGCTGCCAGTTGTTGTTGTTCTCTGGGCTATGGGGGGTGTTGAACTTGGTGTCAGGGTTGTAGAGCCTATTAAAGGGCCTATTACATGTAGCCAACTGTTGGTAGCCAACTGTTGGCAGAGGAGCCTAGATCCCAAGCTCCATCTCTCTCCTCTAGGTCTACGGACTCTAACGACAAAACGCCATGCCACAACAGCCCAACCCAAACCGAAACAAGCCCTACACGCCCTAAACCGCCATGCGGCAGGTGAGGGAGCACCAGAGCTTTTCGAAGACGAGGAGACCACTCAGGCCAGGATTCCATATTCCGCGTGGCGGCTTTGGTTTGGGGTGGAGGTTCTTCCATTCCGAAATATGAAAATCCAACGGAAATATGAAAAGCCAACGAGGCAGCAGGATCCTTCATCGAAGGCCGCCCCTTCTTATGTACTGCAACTCACTTTTGGGACGTAATATAGGGGCCAAAAAAATTAGAATGGGGTTTGGGGATCCATTATACTATAATTATAATAAGGGACCCCCCCAAAACCCTATTCT